TTAATGAATGCTTATAAGTAAGAACTTACCATGACATAGTTCATGTATCCGGGATGTTTTGGCAGAAGTCCAGTCCAGATATAGATCACTGGAATGGAGTTGAGAATGTTTTGTAATTGTGCAAAGATTTATAGGCCTCATGATGAGTAAGAAAAAAAAGTACTCTCAAATAGTTGTGGGTACAAATGTTAAATTTTGGCGAGATGTTTAGTGAAACCCACATAGTAGCTAACACTCGCAGTTGGAGTTTTATTGTGGAAAAGCTCCAAAGAAACAGTTGTGGTGTTATCAAAGATGCATACCCACAGTATAGCTTGTTATGAGGCTTAAGGATAGGCGAAATGGTTAAAAGAACTTACACCCGGAATTGATAATGGTATACAACAGCAATAACCATTTAAGTAGTTCGCTCCTATAACAACGGGTCAAGTGTGCTGCCAAACACATTGACGTTAAAGTTATAAGTTGTGAAGAAGAAAGTCCGTAATCATACTAAAAGTATTGAACATAAAAGTAACAAGCAAGTGCTTGCGGATCCACGTACAAAAGGCTTACCACCCAATGTGTTTAGAGAACACACAGTCGACATGGGTTTATGGTATAGCCTATGATTTCCGGACAATAAATGGCCCAAAGTTAAAGAATCTGTTTCAGAACAGAGACGTGTATTGTAGCTGTTAAATCTATCGGCGATTGACCGTGACGATGAAGCTTGCTCTATGCACTAATCTGTGATGGAACAAATAAAAGTGAAAGGGATTAAAGTCAAAGTTTAAAGTTAAAGTATAAGTTGAGATCAAGGGGGAGAATGTTGGATTGATCTCCCAACCACAGTGGCCCAACGGCCACTTGGGCCTTGACCTTGCGCCCTGATCGGGGGCGCCCAGTCCATCTATGGCTGGCGGGCCCCCGTCACACTGCGCATTAAAATAGAGGTGGGGGCCGGCGGCTCTCTGTACGAGGTTCACCGTGAGCCGTACTCCCACCGACAAACCCTAAACCCGATCTAGTGAGGGGCGCAGCCAGTGACGGGAAGCGCCTCCGCCGCCACCGTCATCCCCGTCGCCACTGCACTGCATCACCGTCTCCACTGTGTCGCCTCTCTTCACGGACCGTCGTTGCCCGTGTGCTGCCTCCATCAACGAACCAGCGATGGCCGAATCGAGCTCCAACTCCACGGGATCCACTGGTCTGTGAACTCCTCACTCTCCTCACACCCCTCTGTCTCTCTGTCTCCCTTTTCGGTGTAGTGTTCTAGGTTTACATGTGCATGTGTAATTCCGAATCCATGTGTATCCCTCCTAGATCTACTGCTAGAGATCTTAAATGTTTTTACAGAATCATGAATTAAATCCCGTGCCTTGTGTGTTTGTTCCTTTCTCTCAAATCACAACTCTTTCTCTTGTTCTTGCCTTGTGTTGTACTTTATGGTCAGGTCCTGATCTACTTTTCTATCAGCTTGAAGGAACCTAGGAAAATTTATTAATATAATTTTCTACAAGGTTGTGAGCAGTTGACAGTCAACCTATGGATAATCCTAGGATTTCTGCTGATACTTCATGAAGTTGTGGAGCATCCACAACAATATTCACAGATTATACGCAAGTTGTCTAACTTGTTTTTTAGTTTGTGTTTTTAGTTTTAGGTTGTCCTACAGTAGAACTCCTACTCAACCCCCCCTCAAGGTCCTATTTGACTTTTTACGCTTTTTCCTTGTTCCTCGCTGGAAAGTCTTAAAATCACTATTGACGCCGATGAAGGGGAAACAACCAAATGAACAGTCATGTCAATTCCAACAACAGTCGCTCAAATATTGAAAGCTTTCATGATGGTGGCATAGAGGAAGAATATGTTTTAGTGGCCAAGATGGTGATGGAATCACTACAGCCATATCAACTAGCACAATAGGCAGGTTCAACTTTTTTCTTTGTGCGAAGCTAGTCACAAGTGAAAACAAACATTGTCGTAGCATGACTGGCAACATTACGACAAAGAGTCATGTGTAATAGGCCTCAAATCAATAGCTCATGGCATCATCAGTAATGGTTGTACAATTTTATTAGGAAATTTTGAGGCGACAATGGATGTTGGTGCGATGATGGGGGCTAGCTATTAGATATGAACAACATTGTGATGTTTTACTACTAAAAACAACTATGGATTGCAAGAGAAGGTACAAGATGTAAACAGAGTGGGTGATGGTCGTTTTTGCTTATGCCCTGTTCGCTTGGCTGATATAAGCCATGGCTAAAAGTATTATTGGCTGATTTGTTGTGAGAGAAAAATACTGTTCGTTGGCTAAAAAAGTACGGCTTATAAACCAAGCGAACATGACGTTAGATGGTGCAGGGAGCTGTCTTGTTTGTGCTTAGTGTGTCCTGGCGTTAAGTTCTCCTTTCCTGTTTTGCGCTTCGTTGTACACTGGTGTTCCCAGCTAGTGTTGGCGTGTGTTTGTATCTGATACTCTTCGCTTTCTATAAAAGCCGAGTTTACCTTCATAAAAAAATGATAAGGTACAAGATGATAAAAAAATTAAATTTATGAAGAGATCCAGGATCCAATCAATTATTAAGAAACTTGGACAATGGTTTTATTGAGGAACAAAGATAGCTCACGAAGAGGAAACTGAAGACTACTTTGATTTGGCTATGATAAAAGTTGCACAACCGCATGATATGTGTGGTCAAAAAAAGGAGGAGAGCAAGAGAGTTTAGATTATAATCCTAAGTAATGATTTGCTTGCCACACGTTAAAAAGCCGTATAGTGAAGTCTTTATTTCTTTTTACCAGTGATGCAAGCTCATGGGCCACACAATTACACTCTTTTTTGTGTGTGGATAACCCTCCACTCCGGGGCCCTATTGCATGCCTCAATGGGCTCATCCAAGATGGACTTCACATGTGTGTGCTTCTCCTTCTCACTAAGGTGCCGTTTGGTTCAAGAAAAGGAACGGCAACGGGTAAAGGACGGTAAAAGGAATGGAACATGTCCTTACTTATTTTGTTTGGTTGAGCAAACGTTCACTGCTGGAATCTTTAACCGTCCAAATCGAGCGGGAATGAGTTTGTGAAAGCACGGCTCCTGTTGCACCGACAACGACGTTAAACATTAAACAAACAAAAAGTAACTAACTGGTTGGCGCTGCGATCAGATCACCCCACAAAGCCACCGAACCAAACAACTCGTAATTGGTTACAATTTGCTGGCACGAATGTTTTGAGTTAGGGATGTAAGTTCTAATTATTTTGGATCACTGGATCAATCCATAAACTTGCTTAAATAAACTAGAATGACATTTTACTTCTTTTAAGTGAGAGGAGAAATGAACTAGAATGCCATTTTATCATAATTAGTTAGCTGACCCAAAAAAAACATCATTGGTACGGACTTGCATCCTTATTTTGAGTTGTAATATAGGTAGATGTTTAATAAGAATACACACATATAACACCTTCTCGACAGTTTCACGACCACAAGGCTCAGTTGGCGTGTAGTGTAGGAGTAAGAACGTACACATGAATGACTTGTACTTGGTGGACAGGATAGGTCCAACCATAGGCTTAGCTAGTGTGCGGGTGCTATATGTGATTTTTGTAATTGAAGTACCCGCACAACACCACTATGGCAACAGTGACACTCCAGCAAACAGAGCACTGCCCTAATAAGTAACCTCTGCGAAGGGGTGGCCCTGGGTCTTCAATTTGCCGAACGAATGCTTTGAGTTGAAGTAATATTTGTGCAGTCTAACAAGAACGTACGTACGGACTATAGTCGAATTTGGTGGACAGGTTTAATTTCACAAGCACAAGGTTCATTTCGTGTGAAAAATGTTGTGATGTTTGTGATTCAAGAAAAAAAAAGGGTAACTTCGCCAGCAGATATGAGCTGCTTAGCTCTGGTTGTGTGAGTGTGGCTGAGTGAGACATGCAGTCTTTATAATTGAACGAAAAGAAAAGAAGACTTGGCCAGTGCATAACTGGATATGGGCTACTCGTCGGCCGGCAGCGCAGCTCAGCAGGTGTTTTTTTTTTTCAGTGGTCACCTCCGATGTCTGAGCTTCACAGGCATGACCCAGAGCCATGAGTGCATGGCCTTCATTCCCCTTCCCCAACGGATCCAAGAACGCACACTCCCATATATCCTGGATCATGTCTACAAACCAACACTTTGTCTGCACACCTGGCACCTGGCTAACAATCTTAGATTTGTAGTCCTTAATAACTAACTCGAGATCAATCAAGGGTTCTGTATTACTACATAGGGCATGGGGGTTAGTTGACCTGAAAATCGCACCCTGTTCGACATTGGCCCCGTTAGCCCAAGCTTAATGCAGCAGCTGAGGCTGCAGCTGTGTTCTCTCTCTCTCTCTCTCTCTCTCTCTCTCTCTCTCTCTCTCTCTCTCTGTATGTAGATGCAGCTGCAGCTGCTGTTCAATGCTTGCCTAACAGCCCCTGTATTTCAGTCTGAATATTTCCAGCTTATTTCAGTGTTTACCTGTTCTTTGGTTAATGCTCCATTCAGCTACATGGAATTAGATTGTGTGGAGTTTCTGTCATTGTCCTTTACCGAATACTCTCTCCAGCGGCGTAGGGCGTCGGCACTGGAGTGCTCGGCGGTAGCGTCCGAGGCAAGGACAGGCGCCGGGCTTGAGCTCCGAGCGACAGAAGACGGAAATGCTCTAGCTCGTCGCGGTCAAAGGCACGAGACGCCCGGCCGCAGCAGTCCAGGCCGCCCCGCAAGAAAGCAAGGCAGCAACCAATGCAAGACGGCGACACTTGTGGGTTGTGGGATGTGGGGGAAGCCGCTAGCGATATGATACATGAAGGAGATGCAACGTCGCACTGTCGAGTAGCGGACAAAACCGCGCGCGGCCGAGCGTCGACCCAGTAGATCCAGCCGCCCGCGCCCTCGCGAGCCAACAGACAGCGGCGGGACGACGGCGACACGAGGCAGGCAGGCTCGCGCGCGCACGAGGAAAAGGCGACAACGACGGCGTGGGATGCTGCGCGACGACCACGACGCGTCCTGCCACGACCTGCAGCTCGGCGATGTGGGGTACGGGAGCTCCTGTAGGTTCCCGACCAAGACCGGCGCCACGCAGGAGCCCATCACGCACTCCTTCTCCATGGACTGCTTCGCGGGCGGCCTCGGCCGGAGGCCGCAGACCAAGGAGCCTGCTGCTGGCAGCTCGGGGGAGGCCGGTCCGAGCCATGCCGACGGCGGCAGCAGCAGCAACGTCGCTGACCACGGTGCTGGCGAGACGAGCGGCCGGCTTCGGCGGCTGGCGGCGGCGAACTTAGGTGAGCGCCGACTGGCAGCAGCTGGAGCGGTCCCACCTAGAGCAGAGGCAGCGGCCGTACTCACCTCACGAAGGACAAGGGGAGGAGCTTGATGGAGGCGACGACGTTTGCTCAAAACGTGACGAAATGCTATATCCAGGTGACGATGCATTCTTTCGATGGTATTTTACGGAGCGGCAAAGTTTCAATGGTATTTTTCGGATACGGCGATCTTTCAATGCTGTGAAACCAATTTTCCCTAGTTTTTATGCTTCATTTTGTCAGTTAAGAGCCAATACAGAAATGTGAAATTGTATGCTGTTGGTAGTTTGGTACACCATATACAATACACAGAACAGGCTCCTCCAGAAGAATGCTCAATAGCGTGTTTGTACATTCAAATAAATAGGCTACAGAATTATGTAGCTGTAGTCTACCAAAATAATACCCAAAAGCAGACCCTGAACTCGTAACAAAGAACTTTACCATACAAATCCACTTTCTTAGGAATATGCAGCCTTATATGATCTGCCCCATGACTTATCACCTTATAAAAAGAACACGTTAAAATTCATTAATACAGCTTGCATAAATGACGGAATAGTTAAACATGCCCAAGCTTGAACTCATAATATCGCAACAATATTCCTGAGCCCAGAAAATTCATGCACGCCATGACATGCCTTAAGCACAAAATGTCCATGTGTGCTATAAAAGGAAATATCAAAAATAACAACAGCGGAGAAAATGCAATGTAAGCACATAGTTCCATCACGAAGCATAAGATATTGGATTTCATCCTAAATTAGGCAAAGTACTCAAAATTATTGAAAGAAAATACATCACAGGTGCAAATAAACACCAGTACCACACTTCAGGTGTGTTTGGTTTATTACCATGGCTTGCCACACCTCCTTGCCACACACCTTAGGCATGATTTGGCATGAAAACTAGTCTATGACAAGTAGGGTAAGTGACTTAAGAAACTATGGCATGCCTAAGTTGTGGCTAGGCAAAGTGTGACAATGAACCAAACATACCCGATTCATGGTCCCACAACCACACAGTGGCCAACTACGCCAACCTCCACATTCAACTCTATGCAACACAGATGCTTCTGCTCCGGATAGACAACATCTAGCACCAAAGAAAGGCAAGCCTTAGCATTCACTTTGTCATACTTTTTGTGTCTTTATTTCTAGTTGCTCCTTCCACTGTCATTGCCCCATAATAAAAATAATACAATTAACCTTATTTATCTTATAACTGAATGATAGATTTGTGTAGAAATCTTTGCTGATACACTTGAGTTTAGGCCATGCGACAGTCGACAACAGCTAGTCCACATGGCAGGCACCGGAGCTCTCCCGTGCTCGATACATGAGTCTAGTCCTTTACCAACGACTGTTTAAAGGGGTGGAGGCTATATATACTCCCTTGACCACCCACTTGGTTGTTGTCAGAGCTGAGAAAAGTTCCTAGTGAGTTGAAGCTCATTTATTAGTGCTCTAGCCACCTAAAGGGTTTAAGGAATATTAGGTGATTAGTGTTAGTGTTTAGGCTAATTAGGTCTCCAATTAGCGCTTTCTCTAGGCTTAGACTTAGTGCTTAGTGAGGTTTGTATACCTCTTGCTACTTGGTGTTTACGCGCACCATTATTGTATTTGGAGGAGCTTTTATATTGTGAGATTATACTAACCTCGTTTATGGTGTGACCGTAGACTGTAGCAGAGAGAACAAGACCTGTGGCAGTTTAGTTAGAAGCTTGACAGCGAAAACGGTAAAAAAACGATCCGGAAGAAGGCTACGTGAAAATACACTTGCACCTGGGAAAGCCACGTGGAACAAATCATGGAGACACACGGCACAGAAACCTTGATTGAATAATTATTCTGCATCGGGAATAATTATTATATATACGAACTTGTGGAACAAAGTTTGGGCCAAATTTTAGATGGGCTGAACCTTGCTCAACATGGGCCCAAGTAAAACGAAGGAAAAGGAACTTGGGCCAAAAAAACAGGAGCGGCTATACACTAACTAGGGTGGCGCTGAGTCACCCGCTGACAAGGAAAATATTTTTCGTCGTCCGCACACCAGGGTGGGCCAATTCTGCGCGTGGCCCAGAAACGTGTGCGCTCCCTCGCTTCGTGGCCCATTTCCGCGCGCGCTCTCCCTCGCTTCGTGGCCCATTTCCGTGCGCGCGCACCCTCGCTTCGTGGCCCACTTTCGCATGCACCCGCACGTCACTCTAGCTTGTTCAGAAAAAGGAAAAGTAAAAATAACACCATGCGGATGGAGTCGAACAAGAGACCAATGGTCTAAGACCAGCATTCACCAACCACTGCACCTCACATTGCTTTGCGTTTGATATAAAATGGAAAAAAAATTGTCACTAATTATAAAACCATTTAGGTCTGATGTAAAAAAATATTGGGAAAAACTACCTAACAGGGAAAACAACACAGGCCGGAAAAGTCACGTAACGATGGAAATAAAATAAAAAAAGGAAATAATAATTAAAGATAAATAGTGAAAGAAAAAATATAATATGGAACAACGTATTAAAAAAATAATAAAAAACACATAGAACATCACATGGATACTACCAGAACAACCCAAAATATACATAGAACATGCCACGAGTATACATGAATATTCAAATATAATCATAGAATATCCCATTTCTATTATGTGAACGTCACAAAAAAAACATCATAGAACATCACATATATATTGCGTGAACATCAAACCAAGACATATGAAGAAAATAAAAATAATAAAAAGAAAAACATGTAATAGAGGAAAATAAAAAAGAACATCACATAAAAAAGAACGTAATAAAAAACACATAGAACATCACATGGATACTACTAGAACAATCTAAAATATACATAGAACATCTCACGAGTATACGAGAATATAAAAACATAATGGTGGAACATTCCATTTATACTAAGTGAACATAGAACATCACGTGGGCACTACTAAAACAACCTAAAATATACACAGAACATCTCGCAAGGACTACATGAATACTCAAATGATAATCGTGGAACATCCAATTTATACTAAACTATACTAAACGAACATCACAAAATACATCTAGAACATCACATGTATATAACGTGAATATCGTATTTATATTCTACGAACATCACAAAAAACATCTAGAACAAAGAACATCAGCATATCTTACATGAACATCACATGATTATAGAAAATAAAAAACTAAAAAACAAAGAGAATGGATAATCATAATAATTATTTAGAGTAAAATAAAGAAGAAGAAAAAAGTGAAATAAAAAGAATAAAAAATGCTATAAAACATATATAATTAAATTACTAGGAAGAGAATTAGTTAATAAAATATTAAACCAAATATAGGAGAAAATAATTAAAAAATCTACTAAAAAGAGAAAAACAAAGTGAACACCACATTTATACTATGTGAACAACATGTAGTACACCATAGAATATACCATGTAGACTACATGAACATCAGATATATAATAAGAAATATAAGAAATAAAAAAAACATAAAAATGAAAAGAAATAACATACTTAAAATAGTTAATTAGATTAAATAAAGAAGAGAACAAATGAATAAGTTAAATATAATCAAAATATTATGGAACTACATGAACACCCCATAATACACAATGAAACATCTCTTATACATAGTGTGAGTATACAAAAATATATCACGGATCATCACATATATGCTACGTGAACATCATAAAATTTAAATAAAAAAGTAAAAATAAATAAGAAACAATTATAGTAAAATTAAAAAGGAGAAAAAAATGAAAACAAAATAAAAATAAGAGAATTCACCAAAAACAAAAAAGAAAAGTGGAAGAAAAAAGAAAGAGAAGAAAATAAAGAAAAATTAAAAAATAAGAAGATGAAAAATGAAGTAAATAAAAATAATTAATTATATGAAAATTAAATACAGGAAGATATAAATGATAAAAGAGATAAGAAAAAAAAAGACAAGAAAAGAAAAAAAATTGAGTCAAGGAAAGAAAACATGAATAAATAAAAGAAAAAATAAATGAAAAAAATAAAATCAAATCAAAGAATTAAAAAGTAGCAGAACTACATCACGCAACTAACAGCAGCAAAAGATATAGAAAAATAATGAATTATATTAAAATAAAAATATAAAAAAATAATAAAAAAATAAGAATAAAACATCACAGAAAATCACCAACGTGGAACGCATACGACGTGGGAAACGAATGCGCTGAAGCCTGAAGGAATGCGCTCATCGTCGTTCGTACGGTGACCGCAAAGCGCTGAACGAATGCGCTGGCGGTGGGCCGTGGGCCGCGCGCTGAACGAATCCTGCTGAAATCGCGCATGGGCCAAAATCGCGCGTGGCCGGGATCAGGTGGTCGGCACGCCGACCGGTCGGCGCCGACGGTTTCCGCAAAAAAGCACCCAGGCTGGCTGCATTGTTGAAGGGTGTGCACAAGCAGAATTTAGCCCATGTAAACGTTTTTCATTGATGATTGAGAAAGGGGAAGAAGGGTGGGGTCGCAGGGAGAGCAGTAGCGGTGGTCTAGTGGACTGGAGGCGTGGTAGCCGGAGGCCTTGAGCGATTATTAGGGACGGCCGAACGGATAGAGATGACACCACCCACAAAAGGGGTGGTCGACGGCATCACAAGGTAGCGTCTGGCGTGGTGGATGTATCCAGTCGTCAGCGCCGGCCGGCGACATGAAAGACGGCGCCAGCCCATTGGCAACGGTGGAGGAAGACGACGACAAGGGCCCCGTAGCCCGGGTGACTCATTCGTTGGGTGTGGTGAGACACAGACACTACTTCCAGTGGGTGTGTGCGTAGCCCCGGACAAATTTTACCGAGAATCGAAAATCGAACCGAAAGAACCGGAACCGAAAAATTCGGTTCCTCATATTGAGAAACCGAAATAACCGAAGAAAATTCGGTTCCTACTCTCAGTTAACTGAATTAACCGAAAGAACCAAATTATATGAATTATACTTCACTTACTTGTATTTTATAGGATTATGTTTGGTTTATGTGTAGTGCGTTTATATTTGAACTGCTATATATTTGTGTTACTATATTGCTATTGTTTTCTTAT